TCACATAAGTGATGTTAATGTGACTTATTTGTTTGTGTTTTTTATCTACTGGATTTAAGTGTTTCTGGTAAATGGTCTATGACATGAGTTGTTTGTTTAATGTACTGATTATTATTTGGGAGTAAAAATACAGACATTTTATGTTGAAGGTGACTTGGTTGATTATTATTTTTCCTTTGTAAACTTCAGTAGCTAGGTCACCGGGCTATCCCTCTGTTTCTACGCATTTAAACATATCATTTTTTTACAGCTGGCTATATTAAATATTCCTCTGTCTGGCGCCCAAATGAAATGTATTCGTTCAGGGGTAACACCTACGCTACAGAAAACTACTTTACAATAGAAAAAGTTTAATTACAACATAGTTACCCTAGTGAACAATCTTATTTTGTTAAAAGCTACTAAGAAAATGTAGTTTAAATGACAGTCTGGTCAAAAGGGGTTTCATTAAAGTGAAGAAGCAATCATATAATACAAATAAAACATTCCTATTTGTTTTGGCTAAAAACAGTTTGATCTTTAGGTAGTTAACGTCACGCAAAAAATACTGCTTATCACTATGCAATTCAGAAAGCAGTTTAACTACCAGCAAGCTACTTTAGTGTAGTATAACTACTAGTTGTATTACATGTAGTTCATCAGTACTCCGTTTGGAGCATTCTCTGTAAATGCGATGTATGAAATGAGGAGTACCTGGAGCTGGTCTTTGTCCTCCAGAGCTTTGGCGATGGCTCGAGCTGCTTCCACTCCCACCGTGTTTCCCTCCAGACGCAGAGCTCTCAGACCCTGAAACTGCTCGATGTCCCGGACCAGCTGCTCCACTGAGAGAGCACAGAAACAGGCTGTTACTCCTCTGGTGCCAACAATGCACAGTTTAGCAGGGCTATCGGTTTATGTTGGAAAATTACGGATGCCCCATCATCTGAGGATCTGGTTGAAGGAACTTTCTGGTAGTGTTGGTCTAGACATACATCGCTAAGGGTAAGCGGAAGGACTTTGTTCAGCTCTGGGAGCCGTATATATGCACATTATGAGGGATGGGAATTTGGACTGCCTCTGAAAGGAAACTGTGAAATGATTTATTTATTTTATTTGTAGGCCTATGTTTTTAATAGTGGTGCAAGTTGACGGTGTGTGCGTGTTTGTGTCTGTGATGTACATGGTTTTTGGTTGTTGTTCAATACGAAAATACCAATAAACATTTTGTGAGGAAAACAAAACAATGCACAGTGTGGTGAATACAATGAGAAAAACAAAGCTGAACATCTGACCTGATTGTGCGTCGTCCAGCTTCAGTCCCAGGCCTTTAAAGCTCAACTCTCCATCCCCGACGTGGGTCTTTGAAAGAGCGTCAGCCAGCAGAGCAATGTCATCTGACGCCATGTTGACTCTATGGAGACATCCAGAAGTCAGGCATTAGAGACAAAATGACATGAGATATACCTTATTGACCCAAATGTGGGATTACCTCAGCAGTAGAGGTAAACACAACTGTGATTACTGTACATATCGATATTGAAGGATAGAGAGGGAGAGAGAGAGAGAGAGAGAGAGAGGGATGGATGGATGGATAGGCAGAGAGAGAGAGAGAGAGAGAGATAGAGAGAGAGGGGGATGGATGGATGGATAGGCAGAGAGAGAGAGAGAGAGAGAGATAGATACATGGATATATAGATAGATAGATAGATGGAGAGATAGATATATAGATAGATAGATACATGGATAGATAGATTCTTACAGCAGCAGTGTTGTATAAACATAACAACATTAAAAAGAATACACAATAAAAAGTATTCTCGATGAATCAAAAATGGTCTATAAAAGACAGAAAATACTTCAGCAACACAAATATAGACTTATAAAACAGGAGCAGAAACACATAGGATGGGATATCAATTACAGATGTGCAAGGTGGCTGTCTATATGTATCAATAGAGTATGTCCATTGATATACAAATGGCAAGTATTATTCTCAACATAGCTGAGTCAAGATGTGTTTGTATATGACAGATAACAAACAGATCATTTCCTGACAACAACAGTCATGCTGAGTTAGCTTTTTAGCCTCACCGGTGCTAGCTAGTAGAAGTGCGCAACATAGGAAACGTTGTCACAACAAGCTAAGATCAAACGTAAACAACTGTGACTCTCACTGTGGCGTTTATAAAGTGTATACTGCTGCCTTGTGGCTATTTGATCGGCCATACAGGTCAAATAGAAGTTTAGAAACTTACCAGAAAAAGTGGTTTCCAGTTGAAAGACAGCAGAGAACACACGCCGCTCTTACGTACAGCGCGCCAGTTGTTTGTTCACCATGTGACGTCATGACGTACAGACTCCTTCATCGTTGATTTTGTTCACGTCGGGTACAACCACTGGTACAACCGTTGTACCGCCACCTGCTGTTGTAGAGGACGGAACATGACATAAGTATAAATAAATAGGGCAATACATAAATAAATACAGGAATAAATAAATATATAAATAAATAAATTTGGAAATAAATACATATATCTGAACACTTCTCCCACCTCTGTTAATACAGTGAGAAGTGAACCACGTGTTTCTGCCCTCTAGCGGTCACCCTTCTTTTTGAAACTTGTTGCGATCCTGTGCACTCACAGAAACAGCTAGCAGTTAGCCACTATTAGCTTGATAGGATCCAGCGGCAGCAGCGCAGAGAAACTCGAGCTTTTCCCTCAAACTAATGACAGGGACACTAAACCTAAAGAAATGCGCCTGGACATTGACTGCTAGTTTATCCTGTCTGTATCGCCAGCGCTGTGTGAAGCTATCTCTGATCTGAAACCCCGCTGCGAGAAAACTCTCGGTGAGTTGATATGCTAACTGAGGGCTTTAGCTGTTAGCTTGGGCTGCACTAGTACAAGTTAATACATGCTAGGTAGTTTGCAGTTTATAAGCAGTGTAGCCTTATCTTTCAACTCTACAATAACGTAAATAATAACAATACTCATGACTTGGAACATAATCGGACATTTTAAAGCTATCATAATTTAAGCTACAGTGATTAGCATTTAGTACATTCTTCTACATGCTAGTTAGCGTGTACTTAACTAGGTAACTAAATGCTAGCTAGTTGGCACTCGGTTTATAAACAAGGTAGCCATATATGTCAGCTCAACAATAATATAGATAATAACAACACACGTAACTTGGAACATAATCAATCATTTTCAAAGCTAACATAATTTAGCACTCTTCATTTATTTAATGTTAGCTAAGCTACAGTGATTAGCATTGGGTAAGTAGCGTTAGCCGGCTAATCCTAACGGCCGTGTAGGTAAACCCAGGTAGGGTCAATTATAATAATAATTATGCATTTCATTTATAAAGCGCTTTTCAAAATACTCAAAAGCACTTTACAAAGTCCATGTTAACGTTGCTAACAGTAATAGCAGCAATCCAATGCTAGCAAGTTGTTTTTACATGATAAGCTATTGGTGAAACGTCAGCTAATGTTATTATTATTTTCCTGACACTGCTTTGGCTAACAGTTAAACTATGTAGCTAATGCCCCTCTAAAAAAAAGCTCCATTATTAATTTCTAACTATCTGTCAGTTATTAATGCTAACGACACTAGCTGTTAGTGGCCCGCTTAACCGTTAGCAATTTTGGCTGTTTGTTTACGCAAGTCGGGTGATTGCTTAGCTTTTTTTGTAACAGGCCTTAGATTGATTATGTAGGACGACTTTAATGAGAGCCTGTTTTGAAAAGTTCTTTAATCATTGCAGAATATAATGGGATGCAGAGGTGGGAGAAATACTCATATATTGTACTTAAGTAACATTAGAAGTACCAGAGTGGAGGAAAGAGTAGAGCAACTTTGTGCACAAAATGTGACATGTCATGCACTTTCCTTCACGTGATGAGTTACTTCTTTCATGGACAAAATAAATCATTGCAATTGGAAAAAGGATACGTTTTAATAAAGATGTAGTATCTAGGTTTAGTATTTGGATTGGAGTAGACTTGGGGAACTGAAGTGGGAAAGAAGTACAAAGTAGCATAATATTGAAATACTCAACTAAAGTACTGATGTAATGTCATGTGGATTCATTGACGGTAGCTGTCAGATTGGTTGCAAGAAGTTGAATAGTTAACCTTGTTTTCCCCCTCAGACCATGGATCCTGATCGACAGAAACGAAGAGAGGAAATTCAGAAAGCCATGAGCTTTATCCAGTAAGTGCACAAGCAATGTTTACCTTTTAATGCCTCCTTTACGACCCAACCATTAAGGGTATGATACACGTTGGATATGTATAGCATTGACATCCTTCTATGTTTCTTTCCACAGGTCATCATTGCCTTTCCCAGAGCCAGAGAGTTATGAGGTATGCATTGATCCTTTTCACCACATTTCTTTGCAACAACTTGCTCCTATAATACTTTGTCACTGTTCTCCCCATGGCTATCATTTAACTAAGCTCAGAAATGTGATTTTATAAGCGTTTCCCCGTTGCTTTTCTTGATTCCTCACCTATAACCTACATATTCCTTTCAGGCATTTATGGCCCAGTTGGTGTGTAACTTGCTGGACGAGGGCAATTGTTGCTTTCGAGATGGGGACAGTCGTCAGGCGGCCCAGCAGTACGGTGAGGGGATCAGTGTCGCCCGCTACGCTCAGGCCGAGGCCCTCGTCATCCCCAACGAGCTGCTGGAGAGCCTGTACGTCAACAGGGCTGCTGCCTGCTACCAGACGGTGAGGGACAAGTGAAAAGATGGGATATGTCACTTGCAGATGCTCATCTGGAATAAGAACATTTGAATAATCTCTGTGTTTCAGAGGGAGTATGAGCGCGGGGTGCAGGACTGTGACAGTGCACTGTGTGTGTCAGAAGGCAGTCGCAGGGCGTTGTACCGAAAGGCGATCTGTCTGAGGGAATTGGGACGAATCCGAGAGGCCTACGAGTGCGGAACCAAATGTCTCCTCACAGCACCGCACGTATGTTGTCAGCACTGAAGATATTCGAATCATTTGAACTTCAGACGTTTGTTATCTCTTTGACATTGCTGTTGAAATGGGCTTTTTCTACAGCATTGAACACGTGTAGACAAATCAAACAACAGTAAAAACGTACAATGAAGGAGCAGCAGTACATCCTCAATATTGTGATTCAAGGGTCAAAGGTCTTATCGTCATATGCACAAAGTTACAGTGTAGAAATGGCAATGAAAATCTTCTGACCTGAGCTCCTCCAACAATGCAACATAAATAATAAAATACAAAATAAGAAGTTGTGCAAAAAGCCTATAAACATGTAAATAGAATATGATATGTAGTTTGCACTTTATAAGCAGTGATGATATTTAATTAGAAAGAACACTTCTTTACTGTAATGTAGCAGCTTTAGTGTATTGATGTTTTGAGTCAGCTTTTATCATTTTGTTTCTCATTGTATTTTAACTTCAAAGTGAATACATCTTGTTCTTGCTAAGTGGGGCCTCTCGTTGTGACTCCTCCTCCAGGACAGGCAGGTGAGCGACCTGGCTCAGGATCTGGCCACCAAGCTGGGCCTGAAGGGTCGTAAAGCTTACGTCAGCCCTCAGACGGAGTCCACGGCCACAGACGGGGAGAATCACGGGGAGTCTAACCCGCCCACAGGAGAGGTGGGTGCTGTTGTGAAGAAACATACTCAGAATATGGTGACCGATTGAGAAGCTAATCAAGTCTGTGATTGTTTTCCTCAGATGTCCTCCAATGGGCTGGAGTCTCTGGGTGACATGGAATCAGGTAAGACAAACGTAAAACATCTTGTTTATACTATATTGCATGTTCTCAGCAGGAAACCGATGGACTGTCCTCTCCAAGTAGGGAATGAGTCCCAAGTGAAGGAGTTCAAGTATCTCGGGGTCTTGTTCTCGAGTGAGGGAACAATGGAGCGTGAGATGGGTCGGAGAATCGGAGCAGCGGGAGCGGTACTGCAGTCGCTTTACCGCACCGTTGTGACGAAAAGGGAGCTGAGCCAGAAGGCAAAGCTCTCTGTCTACCGCGCCATTTTCCTTCCTACCCTCACCTATGGTCATGAAGGATGGGTCATGAGCGAAAGAACGAGATCGCGGATACAAGCGGCCGAGATGGGTTTTCTCCGCAGGGTGGCTGGTGTCTCCCTTAGGGATAAGGTGAGAAGTTCGGTCATCCGGGAGGGACTCGGAGTTGAACCGCTCCTCCTTCGCGTCCAAAGGAGCCAGTTGAGGTGGTTCGGGCACCTAGTGAGGATGGGAGGAGACCGAGGGGTAGACCTAGGACCAGGTGGAGGGATTATATCTCTTCTCTGGCCTGGGAGCTCTTTGGGACCCCCCAGTCAGAGCTGGTTGATGTGGCCAGGGAAAGGGACGTTTGGGGCTCTCTGCTGGAACTGATACCTCCGAGACCCGACCACGGATAAGTGGGAGAAGATGGAAATCGGATTATATATATTCTTCTTAGGCCACAAGACCCCCGTAAAATCCACTAAAATACAAACTATAATTTGGTCGTCCTACCTCTGCAAATCTTGGTGTCCCGCTGAGGACGTCCCTCAGCGTGAGGATCAGCTCCTCTCTGGTGATGCCGTGGGGGTCGTTGGGAGGCTGGGGGGCAAAAAGTAATGATACAGAGAGATTATAAATGGATCAATTTATAGCTTTCAGAAGAATGTTGATATTGATAATTTACTAGTTTTCTGGTATCTGTTTTATTTTTAGTTACTG